GCGCACACGTGTAAGCTAACTAGTGAGCCCTAGGCCCACTACAAGAATCCTTCGCCATCTTCTTAACCTGGTTCCATGGGAGGTCTGACACGTCTCCTTTTAGGACCTTATTTCGTTTGCTGGATCCACAGGTCTTCATCTTGGTGAACCTTGATTCTCCTCCAACGTTCATCTTGGTATCCAGACTGGCCTGCAGGAGTCCGGGAACCTGTGTCAGCTACCGCATGTGACCTTGTCATCACCATCAGTGCCTCAGCCGCGGTGGCTAAGGACTCAGGTATTTCAGCTTTAGAGTTACACGTCCCAAGTTCGACTTGGTCCAAGCGAGCCGCATCAGCGTACCTGGAATTTCCGAAGGCTTCATGATCTTTTCAGGAATTCTAGATACGAGACGTAAATGCACAATTTCATCGGGGTCATCGAGCTCCCAGGATTCTCCAAGCACGAGAGTCGTAGAGGTCAAGTAGTCGGCCGCTTGGTTCAACTCACGTTTAACATGAATCAACTTCACCGACACAGAATTCTTCCTGAGATCCTCACACTCAGCTAAGCGTCGTTGCAGGTTAGGCTGGTTGCAATTGATCAGACCCTGAGCGTGTTGGACGACGATTCGGGAATCACCGACTGCTACAAGTTCCTTGACGTCATACCTCATAGCGAGCTTTAGCCCCAGAATCAAACCATGGTATTCAGCATCGTTGATCGTCACACCTTCTAGGATGTGTCCCTCAGCTTTCACAACCTGCCATCCTGGCAGTCTCCACAGTATGCATCCACAACTTCCTCGGCGAGTAGAAACCTTCGCAGCGCCATCAAAACTCAGAACGTAGCCTTGGTAACTCGCGTCCAACATTTCCAGACTCACTGGGGGGATCACTTTCAGACGGCCTCTTGGCAGGATTCAGGGTTTCTGCAACTTCATCTAAATGTTCCTTAGGAGTGATACCGGACCCAAGGATGGCCGCAAGGCCGTCCTCATCTTTCTGAGTCCGATGGATTTCTAGTGTCCATTTGATAGTTCCAGCCCCCACTCCAGATGTCGTCCATCTGCGGTGTTGGATTGTAATAACCACTTTAGCACAGAGTAGCGCGTATACACCACAACTGGGAATTCTGATCCATGGATCAGAAGTCTGAAACCTTCCAGAGTCCGCAAGATCCCGAGCACTTCCTTCTCAGCTATATGGTAACGTAGCTCTGATTCCTTCAACACTCTGCCAGTAAATCGTACTGGGTGTATGAGTCCTTCATGCTCCCTGCACACGCTGCCCACGGGTTAGCATGCGGAATAATCACGAAAGGCTTGGTACTGTCTGGATGTCGCAGCAGCGGGGTCGACACGATCTTACGTTTCAGTATCTCGAAAGACTCCTCTGCGGCTTTCAGGTTCCTTCCAGCACGTAGACGTTTTTCGTCTAGTTCGTAGAGCACAGCGGCAACTACTGGTAAGTCTTCAATAAACTTATTGTAGTAATTCAGACTTCCTAAGAAGGACTGTACCCCTTGTACGTTGATGGGAAAGGTAAGTCCTCTATGCCTTTGACAATCTTCGGCAAGGCTCTGATTCCGTCCGCACTCACCTCATGAGAAAGGAATGGGATGGTCAACTTTCCAAATTCACTTTTCGGTAAGATTACAGAGAGAGATATTCCAGTATCGTAGTCTGTGTAACAACGCATCCAGGTCCTCACATAGTTGGTCCCAGGTCGACGCCCCGTAAGCGAAATGTCGTGTTGGGAATCCACGATTGACAATTACTCCGTTCCCTAACTC